GGCGCCGGTGGTGGTGGTGGCGGCTAGGTTAGGATTATAGGGTTTTTCTTTTTTTTTTTTTGATTTTTTTATCCAATAGTTGATTGACACGTGTACTGTGTTGGGCCCACTTAACGGTTTTTTTTGGATGGCAAAGTTAAGTGGTGGTGAAAGCAAATTTTTGGTTTTTTTTTGTGGTGTTATAATAAAAACTTTTTTTTTTTTTGGTAGTGTTATTATCAAAATTGTGACAATTTTTGGGTGTTATTTTCTAATTTTTCCTAATTTTTTTAGAGTAATTGATTCTAGTGAACGATTATATAGACTTTTAACGATGTTTTTTTTAAAAAACGTTTAATGATAATCTTATACTTTTTTCGTTCTGTAAATATTAAACATTTTACCTTTTAATAGAGTTTTACACATATTTCACCACATCTATTATAGGAATAAAATATTTAGTTTATGATTGCAAACGCATAATTACAATAAAATTGGTTACCCATTGTAGACTTGTAGTAGATGGATTGAGACAACTTATTTGATGTTATGTCTGCTGTTGCAATGCAATTTCTCGAATTCTTTAAAAATACTAATTTTGTATGAAAAAACAATAGAAGTTTCTCATAAATTCATGATAACTACATTTTCTTATTTTTGTGGCAAAGAGTTACTACATGTCAAATATGTATGGTCGAACAATGTGGGCCAAATATTAAGTGAACATTATTTTTAAGCTATGATAAATTTTTAAAATTGAGCATTCAATAAACATTGAAATGATATTTTTTAGACGTTTCTAAATAAAGGAATTATTTATTGTATAGATGGCTTATATATACTTGTACGTATTATAATTAGTTACGAAGTGGAGTATCCAAGAGATTCACTTTTAGCTTGGTCTAGTGATAAGATTGTCACCTTCCAATCTTGAGGTTGGGGGTTCAATCCTCTCTAGAAACACTTAAAGGGTAGGGATCCCTTGCCCTTCCCTCTCACTCTCGAAATATCTGACCTGCAAATACCGAACTAAAAAAACCGTGAGAGTTGAAGTACAATTAGGATTATTCTCCTAAAAAAAAAAAAAAAACTTTTAGACTTTTATTAAGTGAATAGAGCCCCACTTAGCCCATTCATTTAGGGCCAACTGAGTTTTAAGGATATTCACTCTGCTGCCTTTGTTAAACAACTTCATTCTATTAATCGGTATCAAGGCTTATAATTTTGATTCGCATTTTTAAGTGCACATATTGGTTTAAGGGGTTGCAATCAAGAAAAATAATATATAAAAAATTATATAATTTGTATTTTAATATCGATCATAAAGTTTCTATTTGAAAACAAGAAATTTGAGTATTGAGATAGGAACATATATTATAATATGATATTATGAGAATAATATCATGTGAGATATTATTGTGAAAAGATATACATGAGATATTGCCCATAAAGATACCATTCCTTAACAATTAGGCGAGTGAGATTTAATATATATCACATGTATTCTACAAAGAGTATAGACAAATAGACCATAATGCTTGGTCTTAGGAAATGGAAGAAGTTCATCTAAGGCTAGTATTTCTTTTGAGTTTTGACCTTTCCACAAAAGGAAAGAAAAAGTGGAAAGGTGTACGTGTTAGTCTGTAATTGGCGATTCTGTCATAGTTTTGTTTTTTATGTGTTCGTTTGTACAATTGTACTAGTATAAATTTGTACTGTACTGTATTTATATTATCAAACTCTTTCAATTTCTTTTGTTTTTAATATGATGTACAATATGTCCCAAGACTCCTAACAGTACCTCTCTCCCCCTTCCTCTCTCCAAAAACCTAGCTTTCATTAATTTTTTGAAAGGACTTCTACCGGTTTTAACGGTTATTTTTTAAAAGTTTTTTTAGGTTTACAATAATGCTTTCTTCTTTTGGGAGGAACTTTTCTCCCTCGAAAGAAAGGGTTTGATCTTCTTCAAAAGACAAGAGTTTTTCGACCTCTTTCGAAAGACAAGGTTTATCTGCTGACCTCTTTCGAAGGAGAAATTTTTTAGTTTTGAATCCATGATATTTTATCTAATGGATTGTCGTGAAATTATTTCGTTGATGAAAAAATTATCAAGTTTTCGAATACAAACAGATGAATCAGAAGGAAAACATCCTCACAACTACAAAAAATCGTTAGATTGTCTCTCTAATAAGGCTGTATTTTCTAGTGATATAAGTGGAAAATGTTCCACGATGCAAGATCTACTCGACGATCGTAGTTTTTATGTAAGAAAATTTATTTAATTCAATATCTTATGTATTTGTTAATGTCGAATCTCTATTATAGTTATCGTATGACTTTTTATTAATGAAACAATATTTTTTTGGAAAAGATTCTATTATTATTATTATTAATAATTATTATTATTACTATTATTATTATTATATCTCAAAAACAAAAATCATACAACCTACAATTAATTATTATTATTACTATTATTATTATTAATTAATTATTATTATTATTATTATTATTATTATTATCACATTTTGTTTGTGGCTTGCCGCATTATATATGCCTACATAATACCTATAATAATAACGAATTTTATATGATGACTGGCCATATGATTATGTGACCAGCCACATATAAAAATTTGTAAAAAAAAACTCTGCTTTGTAATACTCTTTTGACGTACTTTATAGTATTCCTTTCGTTTCTATATCAAATCTTTTCTTTTTTAAATGTTTGGATATAAGAGTATAGTCGTTTATTATAATTCATGTTATCACTACTGTACTTCCTACACTAATACACTTCTTTTAATTGTCCTATTTGAACTATTCTTTCAAGATTATAATGCAAGAAGGATGCTTCGTGTAATCTTTAATACTGTAGTATATACTTGTAGTATATGCTGCTAAAAAACATGCGAGTCTTTATTAAATTTGTCTTGTAAATATTGTTACTACTATAAATTACAATAAAAACTGTCATTAAAACTAGTACTCCCTCCGTCCTAAAAAAAACTACCCATTTGGCCAAAACTTTGTCTCAAAAAGAATGATCCATTTGCATTAAAACACCACCAATTTGCAACAATATTTGTGCAAAATTAGCTTCTCCATATAAAAATTTCATTTTTCATGTATATTATTATTTTCTCTCTTTATTTTTTTATAAACCTCATGTAAATTTATCTTTCCAATATACTTTTACTTCTTTTTACTTAACTTTCTTAATACCCGCGTAATCAACCTAAATGAGTCGTTCTTTTTGGGACGGAGGGAGATATTATTCCGTAGTATATGTAATGAAATACATCAAACTACTCTAACTATCCAAATGATAGTTGGCATTTAATAGCACACCATATTTTGAATTGTTAGCATGACATTTCCTTTTCAACATGCACAAATAATACCGCCCTATTAAAGCAAATGGTCAATTCGAATGATTCAAATCATATTTAACACATAGCTAGGTCGATTAGTTTAAGGCCCTAATTATATAATTTTGGCTTATAATGGACACAATCAATTAATCATATTACGATAACAAATGTGGGAAAAAAAATAAAGGAAGTGAATAAATATGAGTAGCAACATAGATAAATAAAGGAAGTGAAAAGCTAAGGCTTGTTTAATATAATTGTTAGAGGATCAAATCAACCAAACGTTTAATTTTATGGTTGAGGCTTAAGAATATGTTTTATATTCTATCATTTACTATAGTGTATTTTTTTTTTAAAAAAATGAAAGTCATATGATATACGGAGTACATGTCATTATGTCGTGTAGAATTAAAAATTAGTCAACTCTATTGAGTGATCATTTAGAAAAATAATAGCAGAAAAGTGAAATTACTTAATCTAGTCTTTCTGTTTTAAATTGGTTTATTAATTAAATAACAATAAATTATGCCCTAAGATTTTGATTTCCATCTTTTACCTCTTATTAGTTATTACTGAGATGAAATGGTAGGGACAGTAGGAGTGTATTGTTGTACAATAATTTATTTTATCAAAAATAAAAAACTATCGATTTACGGAGTACATAATAAATCTGTAATAGATCACATGTAATCATTTTCACAAAATTTGAAACGATAATTATTATTTCATTGTTTCCAATACCAACAAATAATTAAATTTACAATATAACTTGATTTAGACGTACGTTTATCCGAATAAAAGAACAGTCCAAACTAATAGTCACCGATTCAATCACAAAATCATCAACTATCATCAGATGCCACGCAATCGAGGAATATAAATACATTATTCATACACACAAAGAGGGAGCCCTAGGGAAGAAGCAAGTTTTCAAATAGCAACAAGAGAACACAATTGGACAAAAACACACATGAATAAGAAGAGCAAGAAAAGGATAAAATGTGCTGCTAAATCAAAGGGCTTACATTGTTGTCTAGTGGAAGATAAGAGTGACCAAGTAAATGTATGTTTTGTTTGTTTACTACCTCCCGTCCAAATTACTCATAACTATAGGTATTATTTGTAAGATATAAAATATTTCAAAGTTGCGAGTAATTTAGATCGGAGGTACTCCCTCCGTATTTTTTTAAGTGTTAGAGTTTGACCGGTACATAATTTTAGGCAATTTAATTGACTTAAATAAAATAAGGGGTAAGTGGGGTAGTTGGAGTATTAAAAAATTGTAAAAGAATGATAGTGGAGTTAATAATTTATTGAAAAGTAATCAATGTGAGAGGAAAGATATAATAAAAAAAGTAGTAGTGAGTTTGGATGGGGACCATGAGAGGAGAGACATATTATATTTTAATGTATTTTTTTACCAAAAAAAAAAGTATTACACTTAAAAAAACACGGCCAAAAATAAAAAGTATAACACTTAAAAAAACACGGTGGAGTAGTATATTCCAAGCTTTTTAACTCTTACCTCATCTTCTTTAACCTCATTTCATTATATTGTACTTCAATGGACCACAATGGTTGGCCCCCCTTTATTTAATTTTCATTAGAATTTTCCCCTATAAATAGCACCCACATTTTATCATTTAACTCACTTAAAATTTTTACCAAAGTTAGTACTTAACACATATATATAAATATATACATTTCCAATCAAATTATAAACCTACTTTACTAAGCATATTTTTATAAAATATGTCTTCATCATGCATTATGAGCTCAAATGAGAGCATAGTGTTTGATCCATCAATGATCCAAAACCAACCCAAGTTACCAAAAGAGTTCATTTGGGCCGGGTTCGATTCGATGCAACAACAAGAAAACAACAATGATATGCTCAATGAACCATTGGTGGACTTGGAAGGCTTCTTTAAGGGTGATGAAGAGGCCATCAAACATGCTGCTGAGTTGATCAATAAGGCATGTTTAACCCATGGGTTCTTCCAAGTCACTAATCATCGAGTCGATTCGAGCCTCATTGGGGCTGCCCATGATCAAATGGATGGCCTCTTCAAGTTGCCCTTGGATAAGAAATTAAGGGTTCAGAGGAACAAAGGAGAAATGTGGGGCTATTCTGGTGCCCATGCTCATAGATTTTCTAAACAACTTCCTTGGAAAGAGACTTTCTCTTTTGGCTACAATTATGTTGATGATCAAGGTGGTTTGATGAACTCTTATAAGCCTATTGTGTTTGATTATATCAAATCTTCATTAGGAGAGGACTTTGAATATGCAGGGTAAGTTTGTTGGTATATAAGTGCCATTTTTTTTAAACTAACTACGATAATCTGATATAGTTTTAAGTTTGTCGTTACAAAAGTTTGACCATTATTATTTTTAAATATAGTGTTAAAGGATCATAATTAAATTTATATTATAACTTTATAAGAGTATATGACGAAACAAATTAATATAATAATACTTTATCTATTAAATTTATATATTTTTTTCTACAAGGTAAATATGTGGTCAAAGTAAATACAAAGTTAATGTAAAAGTCAAGCAAAATAACAATTAATTTGAAATGAACAGAGTCTATAATACATAAATAAAGTAATGAGCTTAACATTAATTCATTTATTTTGAAAAAAAAAAAGAAACTAATGCAAAAAAATTAATGTAATGCTACTTATTAAAATAATCGTGCTGATTTTTAAACAAATAAACATGATTATTATAGGGAGTATGTGTGACTTTATGACTAGTTATAAGTATACTATTTTACAACTTATATCAATCAATATATAAGCTGAAAATTGGTTGTGGATACAATTATGCCCTACCATTTCTTGTTTCATAACAGTTGGATCACTTGGGGAAAAAATAATCCTTAATAACCCACAACAATGATAACAAGTCCTAATTTTTTTTTTTAGTTTTAGTTATGGTTTTTAGCTTTCGAGAACATAAATTATAAACTAATTAAAAACTCTCAAGTCACCATGTGTCCAATATGTGATAATAAAATTTTTTAAATAAAATAAAAACGTACTCTTAAAATTTTAAATATAATAATAAAATAATGTACTCGTAGAATTATAGACCCATTTGGATGTTCAAATTAAATATATACAGGTCTTAATTGGTTAAATGTAAAATCAAGTGTACTTATCCGATCCTTAGAGTCATTATCATTATTTTTTCATATATTTTATATATCATGACTAAACAACGCATTGTATGTACATTATTCAAGTATCCGCAGGTGGGTGTACCAAAGGTATTGTGAAGCTATGAAGGATCTCTCTCTAGTAATATTTGAGCTATTAGCAATAAGTTTGGGAATTGAAAGACAATATTTTAGGAAATTTTTTGAAGATGGAACCTCACTATTTAGATGCAACTCATACCCACCATGCAATGAACCAAGCCTAACCTTTGGCACAGGCCCGCATTGTGACCCGACTTCTTTGACCATTCTACACCAAGACCAGGTTGGTGGCCTTGAAGTTTTTGCTCACAATAAATGGCAAGCTGTTCGACCTAGACAAGATGCCTTCGTTATTAACATAGGAGACACTTTCATGGTAAAGATTTCATTTATCCGTTCTTTTTTTAATATGAATTTCTATTACTTTATGTCCACACTTGACTTGACCATCTTTTGTGATTCGTACATGAGAAACATTCATGTATATATACAAGATACAACTTGTCAAAACTTCATAAATCCTAATTTTTCTAAGTTTATAATTGTTTGAACTAAGACATGATTTTTGAAATCACCAACGTAGTACTATAAACTTGTAATCTAGAGTAGGCCATATTTAGTTTAATGTGAACAAATCACCAACGTAGTACATAAACTGATTTAGGTACATAGTAGTAGCAATTTGCCAAGTTGCTTGGAAAATTATTGACAGTAACAATAATTGATTTAATTATTACATGGGTGATGCTTTAATTTCTTTTTTCCATTCAAATAATATTAGGCTTACTCCGCTTGTATGCTTAAATATATATGTAGATATAGTGTGAATCCTAATAATTTGATATTTATTCTTAAGGAATGAATTACAATAATAATAAAATGTAAAGGTTTATTTGACTTTATTGATTAAAATCATAAAGTTTGCAGTGTTACTCAAAGATCAAATTTATTTTATTCATGGTGCTCTTTGTTACTTTCACTAAACCTAAAGTTAATAATTATGCGCCGTATACGATCGTACAGATATGCATACACTTGGAAATTTAAGGAATATTTTGAGATCATCAAATCATTCACGGACTTAAAAAGATGAGTTTAAACTTTAAACAAAAGATTGGTTCAAAATTCTGTCATAACCATGACCGAATAGACGACATTGATAAATGATGATCATTTCCTGTACTTTCAGATTATTGTTGAGTTGCATAAATTTCATGCATAAACTAACCTAAAAAAAGAGCAATCTTTGGTTTTTTTATACATATACACATGATTTATTTTTAGCATATAGTATGATTGTAAAATTTTGTCAGATCATATCATAACCTAAAATAATCTCTTTGAGTTTATTATTGATGAGTTGCATAAATTTCATGCATAATTTACCTAAAAATTAGAGTTTTTTTTTATATATATATATATACATGATATATTTTTTGCGCATAGTATGATTGTAAAATTGTTTGTATGCATGTGTAGGCAATGTCTAATGGGAGATACAAGAGTTGCTTGCATAGGGCAGTGGTGAACAAGAAGAAAGAGAGAAAATCATTGGTTTTCTTTGTGAATCCAAAAGAAGACAAAATAGTGAGGGCCCCACAAGATCTGATTGACAGAGAAGAAGGGACAAAGTCTAGGAAATACCCTGATTTTAAATGGCCTCATTTGATGGAATTTACACAATTTCATTACAGAGCTGATGTTACTACCCTTCAAAGCTTTTTCCAGTGGTTACCCTCTTCTAATTTGCCTTGATTTATTTTTATTTTTTTTTTTTTATTTACCTCTTTTTAAGCTACTAGGTTCATAACTAAGTACAATGCAAAATAAAATGGAATGAAGTTAGAGAATTTGTCTTCTCGTTTTGGTTTGTATGTTTGTTACGTCTGCATGTAATGTCATTTTCGAATTGTATAATAATTAAAAATGAAATAAGTCTTGGAACTTTTTTTTCCTTTTTTATTTAGTAGGTTTAAAACGAAAAAAAAATTATCGAATCAGAATTGAGCTCTTTCATTATTTGTTTGAACTTGCCATGCATGTACTATATAGTATTGTACTTGGACTAAGAGGGCTTTTAGAGGTGCTTTTGGTTTTCTTTACATTGATCATGTATGCAATTGCGCGGGGGAGAAATTTCTATATATGTCGTGCACATTTGTATATTTTGGGCATATACTTCCACTTCTCTTATAAACACAAGGGAAATTCTTAGAAGTAGCTTACTCCTTGGCAAAAGGAAAAAACAAAAGAGTGGTGAGGTGCTTCGTTATCTAATGTTGGATTGTTGGGTAAGTGTGACCAAAATTTCATAAGCCCAATTAATTATGTCGGAATGTATTCAAAAATTAAGAAAATTCTCGTTTATTGAGAAATTGATGGAGAACTGTGACAGAATCTAGAATTTGGTGAATGGTCATGAAGATTCTAGATTTATGTGGCAATTTAAAGAGCATGTAGAATTTTTCACACACTTCTTTCACCTCCATAGATTTATCACCTATAAATAGTGGTGCTTAGTCCATACATATCACGATCGGAGTTTCTCCACACAAAATCTCCCTAATCCACTGTCCTTTCTTGTAATACACACTCTTTTAAAGGGTTATTGTAATCTCTTATTTTCAGATAGTAAATATTGTGGGCCCATTTCTTTACGCATTCATCTATCTCTAAATAATTTTATCAATCTATATCTCTTTAATTTGTTTCTCAACCCCTCTCTACAATCCAGGAATAATAAGCGTGCTTCCTATCCTCTCATGTTCACTCTGTGTTTGGGCATACCTGCACTAAACACTTATAAGAATAAAGTCAAAATTTGTGATGAAAAACTTAATAAAACACATGAAAGAAAAGGGTCGAATTTAGAGTGTCAATCTATCTCAAAACATCTACCATTAATAAAACAAAAAAATTGTACAAATCAAGTATGACAAAATAACCAAGAAAACCCCAACACGTCTTATCTTGTTACAAGTAATTGTGCAAAAACCAAGTTTGTGACACTTTATCAGATTTTTGTTGATGGTGCATTTCGTTTTCAATTTTAAAGATTTTAGTTGTAAAAATTCGACAATAAACTTATTGACACTAAATAAACTTGGAATAAAAAAATAAAAGTTTTAGTTTTTATAAATACTTGAATCTTTACCGGCACCATAATTCTAACTTTTTATCTATTTAACAAAATATATAACTCACTACATAAGGATTAAGAAAAATAAATAAATAAAAATAAAAATAAAAAAAACAATGAAAAACTAATCCATTTTGAATTTCTTAATTCTTTGAAATAAGTATAAGCGGTTGTTTTCTCTTCTATATGTTTATACTATATTGGTATGTATCACATTCTATTATTCCATAGTGAAAAAATTATAAAAAAAAAATAAACAATAAAAAAAACCAAAAAATTTAAAAGCAAGTTACTTCCTCTTCTTCACCAATGGCCAACTGAATCGATTTGATCTTGGTGTTGGTAATTCTTTTGAATAGAATTTGGTGAGAAGGGCAAAGAAAATGGCTGCTCCGATACTGGAAAAGATGGTTGAGGAAGTAACAATGGGTTTGTAGAAGAATATATACTGGTAGCATAAGGTGACAATCCTTGATCAACTTTTTGAAATTGGTCATGTTGTTGGTGATGTTGTAGTAACCTTTGATGATTATGTTGTTGTTGCGAAAATTGATCATTTGATCTTTGTTGCTTTGGAACATTTAATTTCTCCCCTTCAATTTCTCTATACTTATTAAGGTACATTTTCAAAGGATTTACGTAATCCTCGAAACCAAGGGTTGTTATAGCCCATATAATATCGTCCCCATTGATAGTCTTCCTTTTTTCTCTTTGGCATTTGTCCGAGGCTTCCCCGGTGACAAAGCTTATAAACTCCGAAACACATTCTTGAACGGTCTCTTTCGCGTCCTTAGAGATTTTCCCACTTTGCGGAATTACCTTTTTCATGATCCTCCCTACATTAGCTATAGGGAGAAACCGGTCTTGCTCTTTATTACTCGCGTTGTTGTTGTTATTGTTGTTGCTGCTGTTGTCGTCGTTGTTGTTGCTATTGTTCTTAGAACAAGGGCTATCAGGGCTTTCTTGTTTGATTCTATCTTGCTTAATTCTAAGGCTTTCACCATCCATGTCTATATTAACTTTTTTTTTTATATATATATTTTTGTTTGTTTACTTGTTATCTTTCACAAGTATTAATATTTTTTTTTATTTGAGAAAATTGGATTAGTGATAATTAGAAAGAAAATAATATAAGAAATGTTGGGTTGTGATTAAATGGCAAAAAAGCAAAAAAATAGGCAAGTGAAGTGGTAAGTGTTTGGTTAATTTTGACCGTGGGACTCGCTCTCTGTTAAGAGCTCTAATTTACCTATTAATGTTGATAAACAGCATTCCATATGACCTAATTTTAACTTATTTTTGTTTTTGTGCAGTTAGTGTAGCATTATTAGATAATTTACTAGCCGTACTTCCGTACAATATGTAAGATTATCTAGACATTTGAGGCAAGATTTTAGAAGCATTAAAAAAGGCATGCGATTCAACATGTAAAGGATAGTACATGAATAGTATGTAGTGCTAATTTAATCCAAAAATTTGTGTCAAAAAAAATCCAAAACATAATATTTATCCTAATCGTGTTGTCTAATATTAATAGTCTGTCTCGTACTTCTTTTTAAAAAAAATAGTCTATCTCGTACTTGTATATTATTATTAATAAATGTTTATTTGAAAATAGAGTGTCACATGAATGACGTTAAGAATTGGAGAAAGTCGAATATAGAGAGTAATATGACATCTCACTATTTGAAAATAGATAAATTTATTATCTAAGTATTTTAATTTACCACAAATATTTGCATTGATGTCTAAGTGAGTTTATAAAACTAGGTTTTTAACAAAATGCTACTCCCTCCGTCCCCGAAAGAACAACCCTTTTGGGTTGATTTTGCGGGTATTAATAAAGTTAAATAAAAGAAGTAAAAGTATATTGGAAAGATAAATTTACATGAGATTTTCAAAAAAGTAAAGAGAGATATTAATAAAAGCATATGGAAAAACAAAATTTTATATGGGAAAACTAATTTTGCACAAATATTGTTGCAAATTGGTGGATATTTTAATGCTAATGGATCATTCTTTTTGGGACTAAAATTAGGCCAAATGGGTCATTCTTTCAGGGACGGAGGGAGTAGTATACAAGTATATTTTATTTCATTTATAAGAGAAAGATACAATAGTCATTTCAATGTATATAGTTTCAAATTATCGACTTTTTCTAATCCAATTAAATATATTAACGGTCAATATACATAGATCAGGAGAAAACAATCATTACAACTGAAAAAGAAACAGATGAAGTATACTTTTGTCTTCTACGTTCCTTTACAAACAAGAAAGTCCAAGATTAAGCAATCGGAACCCATAAGTCAAGACACAAGAGTTCATTAGCTGTCTGTTTAGATCCAATTTTATAAATATGATTGGATTGGATTTAGATCCAGATTTGGCAATCTGTTTGTAGTTTTGTGTCCAGATTCTGGATCAAGTGGACCAGCTAAAAGTATAATAATTGGTCAATTATATGAGTAATTTGTAGTAAGATCAATGAAAAAACAAAGTAAGGTTATATAATTTGACCAAATTTGGAGGTTATTAGTAGGTTTTCAGACATCTTTTCTTGTTGCTCCACATGAGTTTAGAAATATCGGCCTGCTAATAATGCAGGAGCAGAAATTAATGCCTCCGATACAAAACCCCGAAAAGCCTAAAATTTCATGGCTGTAGATTAGCTTTTGAATGCAATTAGCTATCACAGAATGAAAGGCGTTCGAATTTACCACCATAATCCCTATAATTGTTTTTGGATGGACAAGTAGAAACTTTCATTCAGACCATATCAAAAATTTGCAAAAGTGCAAATGACAAAGATCCATGGAGGAGCAGACAGAGCTCAGTTTTAAAAAAAAATGTATCACAATGTGCGAGATAACTCTTAATATTATGCTTACAATACTATCCAGTATGACAAAGAAACAAAATTATCAACATTTACGCAGAGTTCTATAGCTATATGCTAGCAGAAAATCAATATATCCTCATCAAGAAACTAATATAATGTTACAATTAACCCACTAAGGGTTTGGGGAGACGAAACCTAAACACCAAGAACTTTCTCTATTTTTTGGAGGGAAGGGAGGGGGGAGGGGGGGGAGCAAAAAATTACAGTTTAATACAAAATGCAATTTGCAACTATTAAATAACTGAAAGAATACCTAATCAAGTAATCAAAATGTGTGGCTTGGAGATCCTTTGAAAAGACCAGATATCTTACATGAGAGCATATTTCAAGGTCTCTACCTCTTCGGGCCGCCAGTTTGTTTTCTGGGCACACAACAAACCTTCCTTGTCCTTGGAATAGGTCATTCGGATTTCCCAATGCATAGATCTCAACATTGTCTCCAACTCATTGATGGTCTCAACATTATCACGCACAATAATCTTACCTTCTGGTCTCAAGATCCGATCAACCTCCACAACCAAGGCTCGCATGTTGCACCTACAGAATTCAGATTGCAAAAAGGTAATTCAGAGTTGGCATAATCAAATCAGATAAGTTTTATGGTATAATTACTACTCCTTAAATTTGACTCATGGTACATACTTCTTATTAATTTTGGAGAAGAGATGATCGGCATGGAGGAGGTCATAAGATCGAGGATAAGTGTTAAATGACTCGCACCAATCATGATAAATCCCAAACAGACCACGTTCATAAATTATAGGAAGGGTATCGGGTGAATCTACTGTCACCACATTCATGACCCAGAGTTTCAAGTCTCTCAGAGCTGCAGCAAATCTGTTGATAACAATAGAATTATTATGCACCTCACAAGAGTATCACATGCAAAAATTAAATCACAGTAAATGAAACATACCCTCCATACACAGCTCTCATATCCATCACATTTCTCACATTGGACCAGCTGATACCCATGCCATTAAGATATGTTGTGCTAACCACACGTTTCCAGTGCTCATTATCTGCAGTGAAATCCTCGGGTGCTGACTTACCATAAACACCAACCTGGGAACTAGTTAACCAGTATGGTGGTTTCTGCAGCCTGGCAGTCCATTTCTCTGGCCACTGAGACCCACGCTCAGTTTCACCTTCAGGTACTTTGTGCATGCATGATTGTAAAGGGACATTCCTGCAAAAGATCACAGTGAGCATTCTAAGCTGGGAAATTCATAGCTATTAATACGATGCATATATCATACTAATGTCTAAATAGAGTCAAATTCTTGGTACAAACATAACCTAATGCAAAGATACAACAAAGTCCAGTTCCATGCACTGACAATGGTGGGAAATTCACTTGGACAGTTGGATGAGAATTATAGTTCGTCACTACCTCTCTCAACTCTTTTGTTTTTATAATTATTTTTTTACCTCTCCCATTTTTTTATACAAAGCTTTTGATTATCATAGCTGAAAAGGTTGAGGCATTTGTATCAAGGACATACTCTATGACTTAAGAAATTTAAAACTGATGTGATATCTATGAATTTAAGATAGTATTTATAAAATTTGACATCAACAATAGAAACTTACGCCTCAGCTTTGTAAACTATGATGCTCAAAAGTTTTGTATCAAGAATATAAAACCTGTTTTGTTGGAAAATCGGAAGTTACTAAATGATAACTTTTATCACTAACTTTGTACATCCAGTGTGTGATCCACTTGTTAGGGATAAACAAGAAAATGAATAAAATCCTACTCGTCAATGTGAATTATTTTCGTATGCTTTTTTTTTTTATTGGATGGATTACATGTTGGGTAACTGTAGTGCTATTAAAGGTTTTTTTTCCCCTATAAACAAAAGCTTCTTTTTTTCCAACAAAATCATATTTCAGTGACAGCTGTCATCAAACCCCATCCCTAAAATGTATTTTGGTGTTGTATTCGAGCAACTCCATAACCACACGGATCAAATTCTGGATAAAATGATCTTAGGCATCCCAAACATAAGATAGATAAATAAATAAGAAGATAAAATAGAAGAAGGAATTACCAGGCAGCATTACGATCATCAGATTGCTCACACAATGGGGGTTCATTCTGTGACCTCTGTTCATAACACTCGTTAGAAAATGGCTTTTGATATATTGCTATACCAACCAAATTCACTGTATCTTTCTCCTTCTTAATGAGTTTCCAGCACAATTGCTCGGTCAGTTTAGACATGGCTGTGAATAAGAAACAGATAGATTTAGCAAATTTTCAAAATCAATTACTAACGAGGAACAGGTGTAATGTTCAAATCAACTGCGATTAACTAACGAACAACACTGATGCATAACTTACCATTCCAAATTTCAACATCTGCTTCAAGCTTCTGATATATTGGAGTGGCAGACCATACAAAGTAACCTCCGGGACGCAGCAGACGGTTTAGTTCCAGCAAAAGTTTTCCACCTGCAACACCAAAATTTAAATAATTATACTGAATTGCTGAAGTGAGAATATGGCCAAACTCCAATACAGAACATTCTGCCTAAAAGAAATCATTAACAAGACAAATATGCTAAAACTACCTTCTGCATGCCATGGAACTCTACACCTAGCACAATGGACAATATCAAAAGCAATCCCAGGAAAGGGCAGTCTCAGTGTTCCCATCACAGCAGATATGGCTGGAATCCCTCGTTCAAGAGCAAATTGTACTTGAGCTTCGTGTTCATCTTTTGGAGCCAATGACATGGTCAACACATCTTTATCAAAAAGGAAACCTCCGAAGCTGGCAACTCCACATCCAACATCCAGCACAACACGTGAACGTTTTCCCCATGCAATATCAGGTAACATCTACGGAAATAACACAGATACCACAATAAGCAACATGGCAAGCAGAACACTAAGGAAGATATAATCATATTAACTACAATATTTTTTGTCTTCTAGATTGTCCTATAAATTACTGATTGAAGCAAACACATCTGATTTTTATTTAATTTTTTTTAATTGCACTGAAGACACTCCAAGAGCAAGGACAGTTCACGTAAAGATGATCAAAAGCAAAATGGAGGCTCACTTGTTCGATGAACTCGATATAGTGAAGAGCTCCATGCTTGAATTGAGTTCCGCCGCCAGGGAAAGTGAGGTACTCGCCACTAACTTTCACCCAATTCTGGTGCCCCTTAATCTTCACTAACTTGGTGTGTGGAACATTAGCATACCAGACCTGCAGAAACACATCAAAATAGCCCCTTTTAGCAAAAGAACAGAATAGAAAATAAATTTGCACAGTGATGGCTGCATGTTGCCTACCTTTTCCCTGCTTTTCGGCCACTCAATCGGTCGCTTATAACCTTCAGGGAGAGGAACAAGACAAGTGGGAGGCTCAGTAGGGCAATGTCTTTCCCGATGCTCATAATGCTTAGTACTCCTCAGGTGATGGATTGCATCCCAATTATCAAGGCAAGGAATATAATCTGGCCCAGCAGTTGTGTTACAGAGCTTCCATGTAAACTCTTCCTGTTGGCCTGAGGGTGTTTGTGCTTCCTTTACACTCTTTGACTCAGCAGCCTGAGTTGAGAAAGAACCATTCTGGGTGGTAGACTCGTTAAGAAGCTCTGACTGAGCCGCAGAAGGAAAGACCTCTTGAGAACCCTGCTCTTTTGCTTCACCATCTTCCTTCTTGCTACTATCATCAGATTCATTTTCTTGTTTTTGCTCCACCTTCTCCTCTATACCTTCCTCTTTCTTTTCTTCTTGCGTTTCACTAGGACTCTCCTCTGTCTTCTTCTCATTCTCATCTGATTCTGATTTACTCTCACCGGAACCTTCTTCTGACTCCTTTTCACCAAAATCATTCCCATCACCATCCCTCTTTGCACCCTCAGTTCCATCTTCTTTCTTGGATTCCGAGCTTTCCTCATTTGATTCACTCTTGTTAGTCTCATCTGATTTACTTTCTTCAACCTCCTTTGACTGCTCCTCTTGCTTTTCCTCAGATTGCGTTTCATTGGAGCTTTCATTATTGCCCTTCTCCTCCGGAGGTGACTTAACATTACTATCCCCTTTAGTAGCATCCTCGGGCAAATCACCCGGATTGTCCTCAAACTGAGGGGCAGGGCTCTCATTGTTGTCTTTCACTACATCCTGTTTCACCTCAGTTTTTTGCTTTTCCTGGGGCACATCTATGTTAGGAGTTGAAATATCCGACGATGACGATGTCATCATCCATACCCCAACCAAACAAAGAGCTACAAAAACCACCACAGTCACTGTGGAACAGTAGCTCGAGGACGGTCTTTTAGTATCAATCCTCGTATACCTCCCCGTCGCCATCCCTTTAATTCCTTTTAATCAAACTTTTATAAATCCTGTTTCAATTATAGCAAATCAACTTAAAATCTCAAATTATCATCATTCCAACACCCTAGTGAACCTACACACATTATCTTCATTGCATCATACTACTCCTTTCTTAAAATTGGAGAAACCCCATTCGATATAGAATCATATTGTATAAAATTCCATAACAACCAAATTTTACACTATAACATACACTACACATCACCCTTTAAACAATATTTGCATCAATCATAAATCTTATCTTATAATTTTCAATATATATCAGACAGACCAATTACCAATGATTTCTATAACATTCAAAACCATAGTTTATAAACTAAATTCCACTAATTATGCAAGCTACACAGATCCACTCAAAAAACACCCAATTATGACATTAATAACAACGAACTTAGAAATTAACAACTGAATCATCAAAATACAATAAAATCAACAGATACCCAGATCGTAAATTATATTCAATAATCATAAATTAGTACAATTATGCACCAAAAAAAAAACATAGAAGATCTAGGGAAATGGGGCGTACCTGATTGGATCTGGGTAGGAAAAAAAACTAATATAAAAATTGATTCATACTATAATTTTGTCTCTCTAATAAAGGAGAGAGAGAATGGAAGCTACTAGTGAGTGTGTGAATACTGAAGAGCAGCTTAAAGGAGATAAATATAAGGAAATAATTCTGGGTAGAAATTGTATTTTATTAAATTAAAAATGGGTTTATTGATTTTTAATTTGATTGATGATTTAATAATTGATCTGGGATTTAAGTTTTTGAATCAGTTGAATTTAAAGGTAGGAAGAATTTTACAAATATTGTTGAGGTTTTCGGGGTTTTGATGGTTATAATGTGGGAGGGGAAAAAAGGGTAAATGGAGGTGCCGTAAATTTGCAGGAAAAAGATAACCAATATAGGAAAGTAGGGAATTTTTCGTTGAATGCAAGTAATTGAATATTTAATTATTAATAAAAATACTTTAAAATAAAAAATTGAAAAAAATTATTATTAAAAAATAATAATAAATATAATAAGCACTTCCAACTTGCAAATCAAGGTATCCTATAAAATTAACCTAATTCAAATTACTCTAGTCATATTTTGATAGGGCTAGATTTTATTTGCATTTTAATGACACAGATTGGTTCTAAATTGATTTACTTATTAATCCTGTTTGAAAATAATTTATGTATTTTTCACAATGATAAACTAATTGTCTAACAATTAAGATACTATGAGCTTGTTCCGATTGACTGAAAACAATTGAACTAAACTAAACCGATTGGATTATAGCTGAACTGATTATGGCTAAACTTAACTAAACTGATTGGAACTGAAATAAAGTGAATTAAAATTAAGCTGAGCAGAACAGGGTCTATGTGAATGAATATGACTCTTTATTTGAGTAAGACCATACTTAATTGAAAAATGAATAACTCACTTGCTAAAACAACACTACTATCCATACAGGTTGTGATATGAAAATAACTCGATCTTATAGATTGTGAAATTCACTCTACTACTCACCCTACAAAACCTTACCAACTTAATAAGATGACATACACACTTCTAACTTTTACTACATAGATACATCATTAAGTCATCCAGTTTAATTATAATTTTAACTTATCTTGTTTTGTTTTCTTCCAAAAAAAAAATATCTTGTTTTGTCATTTGATAATTATTTTCCTTTAGTATGTGATTGAACTTAGGGTCTGTTCATATTTACTGAACTGAGCTGAACTGAACTGAATAGAATTGATTGGAGCCGAATTGAACTAAATGGAGCTGAACTGAACTGAAATTTATATTTTATAAGAGAGGGGAATTAGGAGCTGAACTGAACTGATTGGAGCTTAACTGAACTGAAATTAAGTAAATGTGAACAGACCCTTAAGATTGAACGAGTTGATGATCAGCGCCATTACTATGGCTATGTTTAATTTATCTTATCTGATCCAATCGCATAAAATAAAATTCATATCATACTTTATCGTCTTATGTGCAACTTTCTATCAAGAAATATCTTTATACAAAGTTTCATATGTGGCTGGCCACACTGCAGCTAGCCACAATTTTTTTTTATAATTATTTTCTCTCCTTCCTCTATCTCCTCCTTCTCATTTTCTCGAGAAACAATCAGGTAAATTCCAATTTCCACTACAAGAAAATAACCTTTTCGTAGAGATTATTTTAACCTTTAGTATCGATTGTAAATGCAACAAAAAGCTTTCCCAACGAATGGTCATTCGATACAATATCCCCCGTTGTCTTAGCCTTTAGTAGTGGTTTGCAATATCGTTGGGGTTGGCCTCAATAATCGATACGAAAAACTACATCCAATCGTGGTGATTATTGTAGCGATTACAATCGCTATAAATATTTAACTCATTTTCTTCAAAAAAAAAAAAAATAACATGCGTATGATCTTGACAAGATTCGAACATGCAACCTCAAACTCTTATATTAAATGTTTCACCAATAAGCTATGACATATTTTATGTATTCTTTGTCAAACAATATTTATATATCTAATGTTGAAAAGGCTTTTCGTATCGATTTTTAGGATTTAGTAGCGATTGTTAATGTTACGATTTCTCAAAATTATATAAATGTGTAAAAATAGTGTTGATATGTATTATTATGTTTTCCGTATCGAATTTATATGGGAAAACCATGGCGATTGTAAAAATGATACGACATCCTTAATTATTTCACCAACATACTTGCATATTGTAGCGAATGTACAATCGCTACGAAAAGAGATTTTTCTTGTAGTGTTCCTCAAAAAAAAAAAAAAAAAAAGAAAGGCAAATTCCAATCGGGAATAATCAAACAAATTCCAATCATCATTGTTGGAGACAATCGAAGCTTTAGTTACCATTTTCAATTGAAGGTAGAATTGCAGGATTTATGGTTACGATTACCGATTTCAATTATTGATAATCGTCTTCGTGGGTGGTTCATTCGTCGGTGGACGGTGGTGTTGGTTTTTGGTGGTTTCGAGGGTGGTATTTTCGTTCGTGTATCAGATCTACTGTGGTGTTTTTTTGTGGTTTCACGAGTGGTAGTTGTGGGTGGCGAGAGTTCCAAAAGATAGTGGTTTTGCTGGGGTGGGTAGTGGTGGTTTGATGGTGGTTTCGTTCTAGGTAGAAGTGGTTCGTTGGTTGTGGTTCTGGGTTCGTTGATGGTTTCGGTTGGTAGTGGTTCGTTGGTGGTGGTTACAGGTTCGTTGGTGGTTTAGGTTGGTAGTGGTTTTTTGGTGGTGGTTCTGGGTGGTAGTTTTTCGTGGTTAGGGGGTACTAGATCCGGTCAGGGGTTACATGGTTAGGGGTTACTTGGTCGGTCAGGGGTTACTTGGTCGGAGGGGTTACTAGGGGTTACTAGGGGCTACTTGGTCGGAGGGGTTACTAGGTTGGAGGGGTTACTAGGTAAGAGGGGTTACTTTTGTCATGTGTTAGCTGGCCACACCGTGTGGCCAGCCACACACAAAACCTCCTGATATCTTTAATACCGTAATGAGAAATACATATTTGGAAATTACATGGCGGTCGGCCAATAGGAAAAAGAAAATTAACACTAACACATATCTAAAAATATTAAAAAAAAAAAAACAATTGAATTTTTTACCCTCATTTTTATTTTATTTTATTTTTTGTAAAGGAAAGATACAAGTAGTTAGGCTAGTCTTCTCTCGAGATTGTAACCCAACCTATATGAAGCAATAAAAAAAAAGTTACTATCTAAAAAAGGATCAATATCCTGGTGCGTTTGCATGAAATGACCTAAAGAAGCAACATAATCAGACAATCAATTGCTCTATTGCCCTCTTTGTAGATGTGCCTGGACTCGACGGAAGAGAAAAGACAAAGGAGCTCCCTAATATCTTCCGATAGTAACTTAATCTTCCACAGACATTGAGCTTTACCATGCAAAATATTAATTATAAGTAAGTTATCCCCTTCAATAAAAATATGGGAAAAACTGTGGGACCATGCAAGTAAAAGGCCATTACAAAGGGCAGTAGGCTCAGCAATAAGAGGTGTACTTGTGCCAATATTATAAGACCGACTACAAATATGATTACTTAAGCAGAGTCGTCAAAATTTATCTTAACAATATGGTAAAAACTGTGGGATTCATGGTGTTAACTGGTTATCCATAGAATCCAAACAAGAGCGCAACTTTCATTCATGAAAGATTTTTTGGGCACGGGATAAGATGACCATAGAAGAGAAATTCATGTTCTGATTTTCCCCTCATGAATTAGTGTACGTATGAGGTATTTAGTCAAAAAAGGAAAAAGAATTGAACTACTTAACTAAACATAGCCTCGGTATGATTATTTGCTACATTTTTTTTTTGAGGGAATGATTTTTTCATTTTTTGCTACATTATTAAATTGCTTGAAATAACAATTGATCTTTTAGGCACAAATCATTCAACAATTGTACAGAAATGGGTAACAAATCAAGAAATAATTATATTCATGCATTCAAATATTTCAACTAACGAGAGTGAGGGAAGATAGCTCAAGTGGTTAGAGCTTTTTTTCCGGTTTCAGAAAATCCTGGGATTGATTCTCACCCCTATCCTTGTGGCTCTCTAAACACCAAAAAAACATATTTCAACTAACCTAAAAAAGAAAACTTTTGATATATTTTGTACTTGTTAATTGTTACTCTTATCCCATTTATTTTCCCTTAAGGTGTTCGCCTTTTTTATTTTTACAATAGATTATACATGTTTTGCTTTTTAGCCTTTTATTTAGAGGTTTTACACTATTCACATTATTTACCTTAACTAATGTTGGTTTTCTGTAGGAGTGCATAAAATAAAATACAACATAGTACTCATGTAAATTATTCGTTGGAATTGTCTTAACACTTGTATATAATTCAAGTACAGAGTATCAACTTATGGATAAGAGTTTGTTCTCTTCATCTTAATTTTAGTTCAGTTTAGCTCCTAATTTTCTTCTCTCATAAACAATTCATTTCAGCTCTATTCAATTCAGTTATGCTCCAATAAGTTCAGTTCAGTTCAATTCAGTCAATAAATCAAAACAGGTCCTAAATAAAGAATTTATTGATCAAAAATTTACATTGACATACGTGTGCAATCAACTTAATTGTTTAATTTTTTATTTTATAAAAAAGTATTTTAGATTTAAAAAAAAAAGTAATTTCCCCCATATAAAAAAAAATGGTGAATCGTTGCCGATGAAATGATGAATGAAAAGTGATTTGAACCTCTAATAAGTAAAAATGGATTTTGTGGAATGAAAAAAAAAGGGAGTAATAATAAATTAGTAATACCCTCAAAAAAAAAAAAAAAAAAAAGTGATTATTGATTACTGTTGACTGTTGAGTGTGAAGTCTTTGTTGGTGTTTACCTGCAGAAATCCATCATATGCGAAAGTTAGGCAACTCTTAGCATGAGTGATGGGGACATGGGTATAGGGGCCGTATTCGCGTTGCCAGTTTGCCACACTTAGCTTGTGGATTTTAAAACACCCTACTTCATCGCTCACAAATCACAACTATGCAAAGCATAAGATGTACGCATGGCTTAACTGTAAGAGCACTAGCAATGGTGAGTTTTTTTTTTGCTCATGAGCTTTTTTGGTGAGGAAAAAAAATGATCAAGTCTTGCAATGGTGAGCATTTGTTAAAATGGGGAAAAAAGCTCATGAGCAAAACCAAAAAAGCTCAAAACTTGAGCATTTTTTTAGATGAACAGTAAATAAAGTGGGGCCCACACCTGGCACACGCACTCAAAAAATTTCGGCCTTATCTCCATCAAAACGACGCGTTTTGTGAAGCTGCCTCAAAGAAAGCAACTCAAAACGCGTCGTTTTGAGTTTCCGGAATTTAAAAAAAAAA